TATTTTCATTATAACTCATATGTAAATATGCATAATAATATGTGCATAGAATATATTATAAAGGTATATTCACATATATATATATGTGTACACAGAATGCACCTCTCCCGTTAAATAAATGCAATATGATCCTACCTCTATCAAATTCATTATTATTTAGAAGTGCAGTTAAACCTGTCTATAGCGCCCCCTCTTGTGGCTCACCAAAATAGGATGCTTTAGAGAAGAGGTGCTATAGACGGGTCACTTTTAATGAAAATCGCATTGTACGACGTATTTAGAGAGGGCGCTATTTAGAGGGGGCGCTATAGAAATGGTTAACTGTACTTATTTTGGGAGAGAAGCGCTTTTTTTGCACATGAACACATTTCATCTACACTTTGTTTATTTGCGTGCGTTAGCGCGTATGTGGTTGTGTGCGTATCTAAGTGGGTGATTGTATGGTGCGTTTGTTTGCGTGCTAGTACGCGTGGGTGTGTATATACGTGTGTAGTGTATAGGTCTGCGTGTTAGTGTACTTATATGTGTGAGTAAGCACGTCGATGGTATGTATGATTGTATGTGCGTATTAGTGTGGAATATGAGTGTGTATTGTAGTACGTGTGTGGTGTATATGGGTTTTATAGTGTTGTTCCTGTTAATGTGTGCCTATTAATGCGTGGTGGTGTATGTGCGTTTTAGAGTATGTGTCCATTAGTGTGTGTTTTTGTGTGATAGTGAGTGTAAGTGCATTATATAATGATCACGTTATAAAGGCAATCCGGAACTAAATTCTTTGAAAACCGAATAATTTATAAAGAAATACTTTATACAGAGAGCATAGTAAAAATAATGGTTTGTGACAATCAACAATAATCGAGTGTTGAAGAACAAGGTGTTAAAAAGTGCCTACAGACAGCAAACTTATGTTTGAATGGGTCGTTTATAGATTGAAAACTGCCCATTCACTAGGTATTTTCAGTTCTTGGCTGTAAAAATATATCAGTGAGGTGTGGGAATCCATATACACCACAAACTCTTACAAAGTGTGATAGTGAGTGTGTGGTGTTTATGCGTTATAGAATGTTTGCGTGTTAGTATATGTACGTATCAATGTGTGTGCGTGTTAATATGTGCAGCGTGTGGTATCTGCATCATACCTGTAGAGAGCTATATAGAATATATATATTATATTAAATTTGACTTTATGGAGCATGCGATATATGTAGGAAAATAACCTGACAAATATTTAGAAATTATATTAATATTATAATATTTTTATTAATAAAAATATAATTTAAATATATATATATATATAATGGTAGCTAGATTAAAATATAATAAAAATTTAAAATATTTAAAAGTATTTTAAACACACGTGATAATATTTTATCTGATAATATATATCTTTTTTATATTTTATAATTATATATAATTGATGAATTTGATATTGTAATTATTATTTTAGTATTATATTTCAACATTTGATTTCAAAGTCTAATAAGAAAGTTTACGGGGGTTTTTGTTTATAATTTGAAAAATAATATTCAATAAATATAGAGAAAATTTTTTTATATCTTCAAATTAATATATAATAGAAATGTTAAAGATCTATTTACAGATATGTAAAATATTCAAAAGATATTTTGTTCTCGGAAGCAATTAAAATGCAAAGACAGTTTCCTTATAAAACCTGAAATATATTAAAGTCCACGCACATGCGCAAACAATCTCAAATTAATACCTACGCTGAAAAATGATGAGAGAGCCAATCGTGCCAGACTTTATTGAAAGTCTTTTATTAGAAAGAGAATGAGAATCTTTTTTAATCAAAACGCTTTTAGAGGTTTTAATATTACTGTTAGGGAGTATCTTTCCTCTCATCACTAGCAGGCCGTGAAATTTATGTGCATATTGTGAAACGGTCGAGGGGATTCTACTTTTCAACTATCACCAATTCTATCTCAATATGAAGTATCGTACTTATATTGCAATAAACATTTTCATATGAGATGAATAATTATTTGAAAATATTTTTCTATATAAAAACCCGTTTAATTAAATAGTAAAAATTCCAACTGAGTGATATCCACTTTTCAACTCTCACCGATTCAATCTCCATATGAAGTATCGTACTTTTATTGCAATAAACATTTTCATATGAGATAAATAATTATTTGAAATGTTTTCTGAATATAAATCTGCTTAGGTAAATAGAAAATAAAATCCTAGAACAACAGAGAACTGTTAATTTATTTATAGTGATAAATCATGAACTTTCATATCTATAAATATTTATTATACAAATATTACCACAAATATTACTTAATTAATGTTAAAGACAATTATCCTTTGAGAAAAGCTTAGCTGAAATAAATTTGTAAGATTATTGTTATATATTTTATGATATCAATATATGAATATTAATAATATTAGTTGAACAAAAATAGAAAAGTTGAAAAAATATTCATCTAATTTTTCTAAAAAAATCAGACACTCTTGAAAAAAATCTCAAGGAAGTATCATATTTTAATTTCTAAAGCCGTTTTTTTTTTAAGGAGAGAGAGGTAATTTATTAACCATTGGTTATCTCCCGTGGTTTCAATAAAGTTCACTGTTTATCAAATATATTTTAATGTACTGTCTGAATCCCGTTACACATACTAAAAAGTACAATCCTTAATTTTTGTCAATGATTGAATTTTTTTTATATTATATAGAATTTTAAAATTTTAAGTTATAGAGTAGACCTCTTAGATTTACAAATATTTGTATCTGCCTGTATAATACTACCTTTCTCGAAATTCGCCACGAACAAGCCCTCATACAATTATTAAAAACACCCCGAAATTAATGATATGTTGGTTATAACATACAATTTCGAATCAATAAATAAGCATATAACTTTGAGGATAACACATGATCAGGATGACATTAAGGTTTCAGTAACATCGAACAGAGAACTGAAAAATTGATAAAATGTTTAATATCATTATCCGAATATATTTTAATGAAAATACTAGTTGTTATTTAACGGTCTCAGGTGTCTTTATCCCAACAGGAATTTCTTAACAAAAACAAAAAAAAAACACAATAATGAATATACTGATTATCGACATTATACCGTTCGATTTTACTGACCGTAATTTAGGCAATCTACACAAAATCATTATTTCAAGATAAAACAATATAGACTCATGGGCAAAATTAAAGGAGATTGTACCTTTCAGCATTTATATCGGGATTCATACAATAAATCTGAAAGATTTATAAAATAATTTGATATACAGTGACCTTTATTGAAGACACACGAGAAAACCTAGTGTGAACAAAGTTGTCTCTTTCTCCTTATTACAAAATTAAAGGAGATTGTACCTTTCAGCATTTATATAGGGATTCATACAATAAATCTGAAAGATTTATAAAATGTATTTGATATACAGTGACCTTTATTGAAGACACACGAGAAAACCTAGTATGAACAAAGTTGTCTCTTTCTCCTTATTACAAAATTAAAGGAGATTGTACCTTTCAGCATTTATATCGGGATTCATACAATAAATCTGAAAGATTTATAAAATGTATTTGATATACAGTGACCTTTATTGAAGACATACGAGAAAACCTAGTGTGAACAAAGTTGTCTCTTTCTCCTTATTACAAAATTAAAGGAGATTGTACCTTTCAGCATATATATCGGGATTCATACAATATATCTGAAAGATTTATAAAATATATTTGATATACAGTGACCTTTATTGAAGACACACGAGAAAACCTGGTGTGAACGAAGTTGTCTCTTTCTCCTTGTCAAGGACTTTCCATTTCCTTAAATTTTGTCCGTGAATGTATATCAATATGACGGCAGTAAAATTCCATTCACAAAAATCCCACCACATAAGGTTGACCATATCCATCAATATATCAAATCCAAACTACAAATAGAATTTTCACTATGACCAAAACATGTGCTGAGAATATGCAATATCCTCCATTTATTGATCTTCTAATCATAATGAAACTTGAATATTCATCTAAAGATAAAAGAATTTGAATCTTCCATTAGTAAATGAATAATAAGGTTAGGTACACAACCGAATGATATTTTCTCGGTGTTTATGTTTCTAGAAAATTATAATGGATATATAGAAATAAATATATATTTATTTTGTGTTTCTGAAATGTCTAGGATTCTACAGCACATGCACACGAAAAACAAAAATCACTTTAGAATATTAATAAATCATAATAAACAGGGATTATAATATATTAGGAATCCAAAACCAGATTTTGTACCAAAAATAAATAACCAAGTATTTTTTAAAAATAAAAATAGTAAAAGTTATAGCGCAACAATTTACTTTCTTTATTGCAAAACATAAGGTTACCTATATTGGATCTTCAACAGAGATGGAGAACATATACTATATAGAGGTTTCAAAAAATAAAATTTGAAGACTTTTAAAAAGTAAAAGTCTGTGAAAACAAAAGTAAATCTTTTAACAAGTATTTAGCACTTAGTCAGTAAATAAAATTTTGTATACAGAAAGCATATAAATATTATGCAGAATATATATATTATAAGGTATGATGTCAAGTATGAAGAAGTGAAATGGATAACAAAATGTATTATGTTTTTTAAAACCTTTACCTTTATATGTAATCGCATGTAAGCATATTTTCAGATTATCTATCAATTTCATATATTTGTTCATTTTTCATAGTAATCGTATCTAAAATATTGACGCTCTGTATGTTCTAAACGCTTTTTTAAAATATTAGATCTTCATAAATTCTCAACAAGTCAACATTATAACAATATGAGGTAATTTATAATACAATCTTTTCATAATTCATCCCTAAGGTTGGAAATAATCGTTATTTCTCCTTAAAAATAAATTTCGATTTTTCGTTTAAAAGAAACACATGCGGGGTAATTTTCAAATGTCGTTTTACAATCATAAGCCGCATTATATCGTATTATAAATTACCTCATATAATATTTACGAACGGAAAAATATGTCCAGGGTAGCCTAGTGGACATGGCATCTGCCCGGTAAGCGGAACACTGTGGGTTCGATTCCCATCATCCCTGGACACTTTTATTTTTCCGTTTATCATTACTCTTCACAATTCATCCTTTCATAATTCATATCTAAGGTTGGAAATAATCATTATTTCTCCTTAAAAATAAGTCTCAATTTTTCGTTCAAAAGAAACACATGCTGGATATTTTCAAATGTCCTTCTACAACCATAATAACAATAGTTTACCTTTAGAGTGTTGGAAAAAAGAAGAATAGTAAATCAATGATCTTGAAATACTTTTAGACTGACAACACTGTAATATAAAAACGAGAACAAAGGAGTGTTTTGTTTTATTTTTACAAAATTAGTAATTGTAATGTAAATTGTTAAATGTTCTTTTCTATCTCTCTTTGAAAATAATAAATTTAAAATACTTTCTTAAAAGGTAAAATTGCCTAATTCTTTAAAACCACTCCAGCTGTAAGTAAACTTGTTATTTGTTGTTTCATTGTCTGAACCATAAGAGATTCCCAACATTGAGGATGACAGTTGGTCGCCAAAATGCCGAAAAATAAGAGCTGAAGGTATATATATATATTAATTGATAATATTTATAAATTCTACCTACAAACATATTTTTCAACAGCATAGATTTATATCAAAAATAAATATATGAATTAATTATATATAAAATCATTCATATAATTGAGTTTGTGTGTTCGTATAAAAATATATGAAGATTTATAATACAATATAATGCGGCCTAATTATTGTAGAACGAAATTTGTCAATTATACCGCAAATGTTTCTTTTGAACGAGAAATAGAAATTTATTTCAAGGAGAAATAATGATTATTTCTAACCTTAGGGATGAAATATGATAGGATGAATTGTAAAGGGGAATGATAAACGGAAAATTAAAATGTTACAATACCTGGACACTTTATTTTTCTGTTCATTATTACTCTTTACAATTCATCCTATCATACTTCATCCCTAAGGTTAGAAATAATCATTATTTCTCCTTGAAATAAATTTATTTTCTTCGTTCTCAAAAGAAACATATCCGGTATAATTGACAAATATTTCGTTCTATATATGAAGATTGCTTAATAAAATAAATAATATTTCCAGTGTTAAGTTTCTAGCATATCTTCTTATTTTCAAGCTTTCGGAGTAATCAGCCCTTCAATAGAATTATCATATTGACAAATAAAGGATATATATTTTTATATAAATTAATTTTTTAGATAAAACAAATTCCACCGGTCTCTGGAGACCAGGATCTTTTATATTTACATAAAATAGCTCTGATATAGAACTTACGAGTTTACACTGCGCGATTTCAATTGATATGCAACGTGTAAGCTCTATATCAGAGATATCTTATGTAAATCTAAAAGAAAATCACCTGCAGAGACCTGAAGCATTGTTTGATAAATATCCAAGAAATTTAAATCAATTTACATATATTAAATATATACTTATCATATAAATAGAAATATATTATATTACAACATTTAAAGGAACATTTTTTAAAAATATATACCTTATTAGTTACGCGTAGGTTGAATGATATCTCGAGACAATATAAAGATTTCTCTGTCAATAATCCACCTTGCGAAATATCCTGACAACAAACGGCAAAGAAGCGACAAACAAAGGATTCAATTTCGATCCAGGAGACGTGATGGATCTTGCGAAGGTTTAATACCAGTCAGGTTTATTTGTTTCTTCAATCGATTTTATCATTTCATCTCTTCCTTCATAGGTTTGAAATATATTACTTCATTTCTCTCTCTTTACAGTGTTCTTTGAAATTCGTTTAGAATTTAAACGCAAAGAGTTTTTTATTTAATAAACTTGAAATGGAAAGCTATTTCGGGCATTGCTCTTTAGAAGAACCTGTTTAACATGTCTTCTTGAAATAGTCCCTTTACACAGGTCCTTTTGAATATGTCCTGTTGAACATGCCCTCTTGAATATACCCTTTTGAACATTTCCTCTTGAACAGTATCTGTTGTAAATGCTCTCTTTAATATAACCTGTTGAACATGTTCTCTTGAACAGTACCTGTTAAACATGTTCTTTTGAACAGTACCTGTTGAGCATATGCCCTCTTGAATATAACATTTGAACATGCCCTCTTGAACAGTATCTGTTGAATATTCTCTCGTTAACAGTACCTGTTAAACATGCCCTCTTGAACAGTACCTGTTGAACATGGTCTCTTTAACAGCACCTGTTGAGCATGTACTCTTGAACAGTATCTGTTGAATATGCTCTCTTTAACAGTTGAACATGCTCTCTTGAACAGTACCTGGTGAACATGGTCTCTTGAACAGCACCTGTTGAGCATGTTCTTTTGAACAGTAAATGTTGAACATGCCCTATTGAACAGTATCTGTTGAATATGCTCTCTTCAACAGTATCTGTTGAGCATGCT